TCATGGGAGAGCGTCAGCCGTCGAGGAGTAGGGGGTGGTGTGGAGGAAGTTCACTAGACGCGAGGGGAAAGAGAGGGGTGGGTGCGGACAAGGAGGGTCGGGGGGTCATGGGAGAGCGTCAGAGTAGGAGAGGAAGTAGTGATAGAGGAGAAGATAAGAGAGGAACTTGAACAAGGAGAGACAAGCTTGCCCGCCGGCTTTTGATCACCACAAGATGATACTTGAACCGTAAAGATCTTGTAACCAGAGATTGCTGTCGCGAGGGTGGAACATCCGTTTCAAGGCATTTGAAGAGGTTGTGCGGATTTATCTTGCTCACCGATCCACAACTGAAGTTGATCACCGATCCACAAGTGAAGTTGCTCACCGATGCACAAGTGAGCTTGCTCACCGATCCACAAGTGAGCTTGCTCACCGATGCACAAGTGAGCTTGCTCACCGATGCACAAGTGAGCTTGCTCACCGATGCACAAGTGAGCTTGCTCACCGATCCACCAGTAGCTCCGGCAGTCTCTCATGTGTAAGGCTAGCCACCAGTAGCTCTGTGACATCAACACGTCCCTCGATCGCAGTCTCCTGGGAGTTGCTGATTTGATCCTACTCAAAGCTGACGATCAAGAGACTTGAAATAACAGTCAGACTCGGAATCGACTAGTAGCTCCCAGTGTTTTCCGGCAACTTCATGTCCGGTCCGCAGTGTAGCTGATATCCGACCGACCAATCTGGCTGGGGAGAGGCTTGTTGTTCCTAGAGTGCATCCGAAGATGGATCAAACAGATTGTGGCTGGGATACTAGTGATAGGGCTGACTTGAAACAGCTTGCGGCTAGAGAGGGAGCCTGATTGAAGAGAAGAGTCATCTGAATGTGTGTAACGAGACATCATGACTGACCAGACATGAGATCAACATGGTTGGGCATGTATACGAGGCTTGTGACTCCTGGGTCATGACGGATCGAAATCAAGCTTGTTGCAAGTGGACCGACGTTGTGTGACGCACGGAAGTCTCGGGTCTGATTTTGAAATCAGACC